TTGTCTTACTCTCTCCCTTGACCCCACCAATGCACCATTGGAAGTCCCCCCCGCCCCATACAAAACTCTTTTCCACATCCCAACCCATATGATCTTCTCAGGAATTTAGTTAACCATCCCAATCCGCCCACCCTGTGCTTCACTGTAGTCACTCTCTCCATTGTAATGCTTTATTCAAATCTACAAGCAATTTCAAGGCCAAACCTCCCTTTTGAAAAGGCTATTTCACTTTATCCTATTCAAGCAAATGATATCTTCTTTTTTCCAACTGTGTTACTCCACAGGAAAATGCATTGGATCCTCTTTAATCTTTCAGTGACCATCGATGGGATAGTTGACAAGGACATGGGATAAATGAGGATACTTGCTAATGTGCTTTCTACAAGTGTCAACCTACCACCTTTTGATAACAATCCCTTCTTCCACCTTGTTAATGTTGGTTCAAATCTATTCAACACTGGGTCCCAATCTCCTTGAGTTTAGTTTCCAAAGACTTTCGCAAATACTTTTACATTTTTGCACCCCAAGATTTCAGCCTTCTGACTTGCGTATCCATTATCCCCAACCGTCATAAGTTTGGACTTAGGTGGATTAATTTGAGGCTGGAATACTTCCTTAAAGCAAAGTAATACAAACTTGACATTAAGCAAGGCTCTATCTTCCGGATCACAGAAAGAAAGGTATCATCAGCAAAGAAGGAGTGAGTAACCGCCATTTCCCTCTTTCCTTCATCCACCTTTGAAACCCTGCATAGCCCCAGCTCTCTAGCTTTTAAGAAAAGTTTGTTAAGAGCCTCCATAACCACAAAAAATAGTAGAGGAGAAAGAGGATTCCCCTGTCTTAGGCCTCTCAATACTTTAAAGAACGAGGATGAACCTCCATTAATTATGACCACAAATGTTGCAGAGATAATATACGTCTTAATCCCGGTACACCACTTCACTTCGAGTTCCAATTTATCTAGCATGTAGAGGAGAAATGTCAAGCTTATGATCATAAGCTTTTTTCATATGTAATTTGCATAAGATCCCACTCCCCTCCATTTCAATGGACTATATACTACCGTATTAGCAATTAAAACTGCATCCAGGATTTGTTTTTCCTCACAAAAGCATGTTGACATTTGGCTATCAGCTTCTCCACCACTCTAGCCATTGTCATTGTCAAGATTTTAGCTAAAATCATGAGACACTACTCACTAAACTGATTGGTTTAAGATCTTTAATGTTTGAAACACGTTCCACTTATGGGATAAAAACTAGGAACATAGCGTTTAGGCTTTTAGCAAAAGAGTCTGCTGTGAAATTCTCTGAGCATTGCCGTCAAGTCATCTTTTAGAATCTGCCAATTATGCTAGAAAAAATTCATGTTAAAACCGTCAAATCTGGGGGCTTTGTTCCACCGACAGTTCCTAATACCTTCATAGATCTCTGTCGTGCAATCCTGCTTAAGGAATTATATGTGAATATCTCTCCCAAGCGGTAGAAGTTCAGCTCATCTAAAGTGGGCCTCCAAGAGAGA